AACGATCAATTCCAATTATTCCAACAGTCGAGCAACCTTAGCAGCCACCACTTAGATGCGTATGTATGCGAGCGTCTATGCGTGCTTATGTGATATTCTCGTTTTCAGGCCGTCATTGTAATCCGAATTTTTCCGTCGGGGATGGCGAGGTTATTTCCACGTAAATAATGGAGTCAATTAGTGCAGCTAATTATTTTTCAGAGCACTGGCGCTTAAGCTCGTCAATCATTCCCAAAAAGTATGGTAGAAAATAACGGTTGTTGTCGGGTGCGAGCTTTTGAAACATTGCATATTCAGAAAGAAGGAATTTACATTTATCTGTCACACGCGAGCGTGGGATATACAATTAAAATATGCATACAAAGGCTATTGACTATCATATGTACATTTATTTAATTAATAGGATTTTCTGCACTACTTTAATGAAAAAATACGATACATGATCATAAATTTCGGTTTTCGACTTTTGCCGGATGAATTTGCTGTTATGTGAGATATCGTGGCAGCTATTATTTGTCCATTAAAATTTTTTCATTATTTTTTTTTCACATTAATAGAAGCGTATCGCTTCCGCCGAGGATACTTCTATCTTTAAATTTATTAGCGCGGCTTTAATCGCATATTTCTTCTCACGGCGCGCGGTGGATGGAACAAAAGCAGTTATTTCAATAATTCCCTAAGGCGTACCATTGGCTCGCGACCACGCTTGCAAATTTTTATAATATTTTATAAAGTACTAGCGGCACTGTAAAAAAAAAACTTTACGTCTGTAGAACTAGTAAAACTGGCATAAAGTTCCGGTGTATCGCGGTAGAAATTTCTTGCACGGCCGGCGGAAAAATCCGCGTTGCTCTTTTTCTTCTCCGATTGTCTCACTTGTACTTTATTTCAAACACACGTACCTATAAGTTTTCCGAATGAGATACACTCGCGAAAGTATCGTTGTATAAAGTATACTCCATCTGTTGCGAGGGATTTTTTTCTAATCCACTTCGAGAAACTTTATCTTATATACTGTTCTTTCTCTGATTCCGTTTATGTGACAGAAAATTTCGTTTATACGAACATGATTTCTTTAGATCTCTTTTTTTTCTAGAGATTAGAACAATCGGGAATTAGTAATCGTTTCAGATCTGCATTCTCCGTTAAGTGGTTAGAAATATTTTCATTTAATTACTTAGACGTCAATCGGTCCGTGAGATCGGTTCGTTAGATCACCTCTAGAATTCCGTGGCAGGTAATACGAGGAGACCGGAGGCGAATAAAAAGACCACAAAGCTTGCGGGAGCATGCGATCGGAAAGAGCGCAACGAGAAGGGCGGTTTGCGGCGATCGGAGACGCGATGTGTAGGAGATCTCCGCTTCTCCTACCATGAAGACCTAGTTTACCTTGGCGTCGTTTGTGCTCTCTCCTTTGTACAGAAAGTGTCATAGAGGATGCGGCTCTCGATCAATGCTACTGTGTTCAGAGAGTTACGTTTCTCTATCTAGCTGAAACAGCAAACATCCGTGCTTCTGTATCGGCCGCAGGGATTAGTTTAGTCAACTCTATCTCTAATAATGGGTAATTGGCCACAGTCAAGTACTTTTGTATTCATGTATGGAGTGTTCCTGACAACTTAAAACTATAGATAATAATTAAAAGAATTATCGTATACAAAAGTCTATTTTATTAAAAATGTAAATGGTAGAAATGCAATATTTTAATTAGAGAATAGATCTTTTTATTCTCTGAATATTAAAATTTTACAGTTTTACGCGATACTTTTGTAGAATAATTAAAATTATCCCGCGATGCGAAACATCCTGTGAATAGAAAAGTTTCTAAATTTAAAAAATTAAAACTTATTAAAATTAATTTGAATTTTAGCTGTCAGCTAATACAATAATACGATTGTATATTTTGATAGAAATAACCATATTAATATTTAGAAGGCAGAGCGTAGAGAGATTGCGCGCATAAATTTAGAAAATGCGAATTTAGGAAGTTGTTAACTTTATGAATAATAAATCGGGTTGATGACGTAAGTCGGTTGACGACGGTAAGTAGGTTGATTGAATTTGCTGTTTGCGAAACAATTCTACAAGTGAACCCGTAGGCCAATTTGCGTAACAAAATGTCTCCTGTTTGCGTGACGCGCTACTGCGTTACCACAGCGAACATAACTATGTACATTTAATCAAGGGTACTTGTGTGTAAAGTGCATCGCACCATATTCATATACATTTTATACACGGCTGTTAAGTACCTTACTCAACGACAATAATTAACGCACAAAGACAATTTGTTCGCATTATTAAGCGATTTAGGTAATGTTCATTACCTTCATAAATGTTTCATACTCTTACCCAAGAAAACAATGAGTTAAATAATATGTGATTTCCTGCGAAGAACTAAAGAATACAAATAACGTTTAAAACGTTGAAATAATTTTTATAATAATTAAAATCATTTTATACGCAAACTAATTTCACTCTTATCGTGTAATTTCACTCTTATTATGTATTTCTCTGATTATTCTCATAGAATATGAATAACAGCCTTTTTAAGTACTTTTCCGTACTGTAATGATTGGCATGTACCGTATTGTAACAACGTAGCTTGCAATCTCCCATCGGGAAAAGAGTAATTGTGTTGGGATCGATGTGAAATTGAGTTCGAAATTGCAATATGCTTTTTATTGTACGTGTCAATACGAATTCGTACGAATATAATTGGAACTCTAACTAAGTTTAAGATTTAAAATATAAAGCATTATGAAAAAATAACGTCAGCTCAATTTCTAGCAATTTTGCATGCACTTATTGAATAAAATACATTACAATAACGTTATCGGGCATTACTATCAGATTTTTATCAATCTTATTTTTTTATATCAATAACTTGCTTTGTATATTTTTTTTCTGTTACATACGTGTAATTTTTTTAACGCTTTTAATGGCAAATTGCGATTGCGTTTGTTGTTGTTTGCGCTGTTCTTGTATGCGATATATTAAAAATTCTTCCGCCAATGTCGGTTTTTATTTTTGATGACTTTTTTGGTCGACCATTGGCCATTGCTGTTGGGTACAATAACGCGCGCCGTACAATATGCGCGTGAAGAGAGTAATTGCGCTGGGATCGGTATGCAGATGAGTTCCAAACTGGATTCTGTTTTTCATCGATGAAGTCAATATTACGAAATAGTACGAGCGTCTGGGTAAACCGACGCTGGTACAAGGGAGAGCAGGGATAACGAACTTCTGCAAGATGTTACTGAATTTGCCAGTTCCGTAGCCCTGGGGTGAACCGAGAGCCGCTATACGGTGATTAAATTTCCTAGTTGCACTCTCTACGATGGGTTATTTTATAGAAAATTTAAACTGAAGCTCAAGGTTGGCCGTCTTATAGAATCGCTGTATTCAATATGCTTCGTGAGTATCGTTTTTCCTTATTGCCGCCCCGACTATTATTATCGTTGTTGAGAAATTTTCCCGCAGGCCAGTAAAGCGGCAACGCTTCGGATTATCCATAAAATTGCATTTGCGTCAATTCAAGATCCTGCGATTTCGCAGGGCGAAGCTTTAGTGTCTGTAGATAATTTCTCGGTGGAGTCTATTAATATTCTCTTCGAAGAGTGACTATCACTATGCATATTCTCTACAAAAATTTAAATTACCAATTCTTATTAAAATTAATTTAATTAATTAATTTTATTCAGTGTTTGCATTATAATGTTGTGATAAAGACAGCGAGAGAATTTTTTGTGGTTATCGTTGGAATTAATGAGATTGTAATGAATGCGATAAATGTTTGTCTTGCTTCGTGTTGCCTTAATTAATGTGCGGCAAATTGTAGGGACGCTGATATAAACCTGATTAAAATTGAATTCTTGCAAGAACGAAAATAAACGTGATGTATGCGTGTATTTTTCTTTCCAGAGAGAAAAATTTTTATGTGATTTTTTTCTGTTTTATATACATCTAATAAAAAATTTTATTAATAGTTAAGTGATATTTTTAATATAAAGCAGAAAGAAAAAAAAGATTTTCAAATAACATTTATTTTCTGAAAAGAGAAAAACTAGAAAATAATAATTCTAAAACCTTTTTTTGATTAATTTGTTTTGATATGTTTAACAGTTAGCATTTACATATTATTATTTATTACATAATATTATTTACAAGAAATATTTCTACTGCATAAAATAAAACGGTATAGAATAAAAATATGTCAGGCACGATAATGATAAATCTGACATTGGTAAATCAGAGAAACTATTTTGGCAGTTTAATTAGTCAAAATATAATGCGAGATGTTTGTGGCATGTAAATACAGAGATGCATATCTAATGCAATTAACAATGACAAGTACTTACCAGTACTTCAATATGTTAATACATATTTACTGTGTATAAATTATTTTAATGTTTGTCTTTGATAAAAATTCACAAAATGATAAAAATTATTATATCACCCAATTCATAGTCAAACTAACATAAAAGTACGAGTTTAAACATTTATCCTGTTATACAATAATGAAGATTATTTTTGAAGATTACATTTATCTTCTATTTAGAATGAAACGCATATCCTTTTTACAATATTAATAATATTTTATAAAGTAAAATCTTTTTACAATAATTTTTTAAAAACATTTATGCGAATATCTTTTTCATACTATTTTTCATACTATACACATATGAACACTGTATTCGAGATATCTGTTTTATGCGCGATGAATATAGAACTAATAATTAGATGAAGGCAAAGAAAAAAGAAGTCGGGAAACAAACATCTTTGTACATCGGTTTATTATTATAGCATTACTTTGACACTGGTTATTTTAAGAAAGATAATATTTAGCCTCTTCGTTATTTATCTATCTGCTCTTTCTCTCTCTTTCTCTCGCTCTCACTCTCTCCCTTTTCCATTTCTCTCTCTCTCTCTCTCTCTCTCTCTCTCTCTCTCTCTCTCTCTCTCTCTCTCTCTCTCTCTCTCTCTCTCTCTCTCTCTCTCTCTCTCTCTCTCTCTCTCTCTCTCTCTCCCCCCTCGCTTGCACGCATTCTTTCTTTCGTTTTTGTATTTGTTAAGAAGTCTCGACAGAGCTCACCAAGCTTAGTGAAATTAAGTACGGAAGCAATATTTCTGTACATCCCGTTTTGCTGCATTCGAGAAAATGTCTCGAATTTTCTTTCTCTCTTTCTCTCTTCTTTCTCTCTTTTACGTTCACTCGATTCTCTCGATCTCTCCTTCGCGCATACAGACGCACGCACACGCACACACACACACACGCCGTTCGATAAAAGTTTTTCCGTCTAGCAGTCGCTCTCGCTTCCCATCTGGTTTTATCATTCAAGCATACTATTTGCCACCGCGAATTTCTCGCCCCTCCACTCCTACATTCTGCATTATTTTGGCGCTGCCCTATCTGCATCTTTACCATGTCCACGTTTTTCTATCTTTTTTCTAGTCTTATGCTTTCTCTTCCTACTTTTATTACACTCGCACTTCATTTCACAATATAGTCTTCTCAGGAATTGAGCGTACCGCGAAGAGTCAAGCTCTTGAAGCGCGGCGTGTAAACCATTATTATTGTCACTGTGTCCAATTTATCGGTCTGACCCCAGCCAATTAGCTAAATCGGTAAGCCCGCTCGTTCGTGATTATTGCCACTCGATTATGACACGTCTGCGATGGCCGCCTATGCGCGATACCGAGATCAGAATACAAACACCGACGTCGAGGATTTTGACGGGTTTAGAGTTCTCACGCGAATTATTATTTCTAGTTTTTCTTTTTTTTTTTTTGCTTTTTTTATTTATTTATTCGTTTCTTTCTACGATTGGCATTTATTATGAAGGAAATTGAGGTTTCAGTGCGGCGTCGATCCATTGCGATGTACATACGAAATTGTGTCGAATTTTCTGCACGCGATTTTTCCCCGAGTTTTTAGTTCGCGGTATGCATCCAGTATATTTCCCGGCGGACGACGCATGTTGCAGTTTCGGATGTGTTTATATACGTCAGAATTTATACGAAATGGCGCGGTGATCCTCGTCCGTGCTTTTAACGTCTTGGTTACAGCACTTGACGTTCGCATCTCCGTCGTTGATGGAGTTTGAACAGTGTTATCATCGGATAATTTTCGTTGAGTAGATACTGTACCGATATCGACATCTGAATGATTTTACATAATGAGTCGTATGGGATTTGCAAAGAATTTGATTAACCAGATATGCGATTAGAAGTAACTTGCGATTGCTTGTAGAAGTAACACTTGTTTATACCGTTAGATAGTCATATGAATATCTGTCTTTAATTATGCACTGTAGATTTTCGACAGTCTCGATAGTCTCCCGACGGTCGTTCGCTTTTCCATTTGTAGATTGCGGAAGTTTTAAGTCACGTCTGAATAATTTGTTATTTTTTTGCAAAATTGCTTGGTAATCCGTAGCGTATTGGCGGTTTCCGAAGCGATACGGATCAGTTCGGAGTATCTCGTTTGCAACTTCGACGTTTAGTCGCTCGTCCCTCTCTCGTGGTTTCCGCAGTCAGGAGGATCCTCCGAACTTTCCGATTAACACTTTAGTTAGACTGATCGGCAGATCCACTTAGATCTCGTTTCACAATGACAAAACTACGCATGACATCACCCGTGAGTTATTTCAAAATTTTTTTCAAACACACGTCGACCAATCGTGATTTCGGCGACCGATCGGGCGGCACCGACGCTTCTTGATCGCGATTTTTAGCATTCGATCGCCTGTCTCTCTCGAACAGTTGGACGTGTTCCGACTCCGGTCACCAAAGCTCCGTAGTAGGCGTGAGAGTGTGCACCTCGATATTCTCGTGACGATGATACCTGTCCGTCCGGTGCACCGTCGCTCTTCGCGAGAGGACGACAGTCAGCGCCGCGACGGCGCCTAGAGCCGCGCCGACTAGCACCAGCATCCCGGGATGAGCACCGGCGGATAGAGCCTCGGATACTCTAGCACCGGAATCGGTCGCTCGACTATTCAGTTCTTCCGCTATCGTCTTCGCGTCGCGATCGTCTAGCACCGCGTTCTCCCGCGTCGCGTTTATTCTGCTCGCGTACTTCTCGGCGCTTTTTTTCTCCATGTTCGTCGACGCTTCGGACGAGGCGCTCTCGCCGATACTACTCGACGCGGCAGGTTTGCTCATTCTACTTTTTTTTTCCACCCCACTGTCGCCCCGGTTATCGAAAGTTTGCGAGCGCGACACCGCGTCTTCCATCTCCGTAATGGATAGCTTGGGGTCGGCGCTCGGCGCTCGAGAGGCCGGGATGACGGCGTGCTTGATTAAATTCTGATCCATCGAGATACGATTTGTTTTATCGCTCTTTCGACTCGGTTCCCTGCTCGTCCGCGTCATCGACGACGTTACGTTGCGGAAGGACGTCGGCGCCTCGTAAACTTGCGGCGCTTTTTTCGACGACGTTTCTGTTGTGGAGACGTCTTGCGTGGGTGGAGAAACATCCGCGTCAGCCGCCGTTCTGATTTTCGATTCGGTTTTCGCGTTTGCGTGAGATAGCGTGGAAAGATCCGTGACGTTGCGATCGGAATTTGCAGCTCCGATATTGGAAGACACCGTGACGTTTGGCTGATCAGTATGCGACGTATGCTCGAGCGTGACGACGACAGATAGGGTAACCGATGTGCTCGCCGTTGCCGTCGTCGTCGTCGTCGTCGTCGTCGAGATGACGGCGCCCGCTGTCGTGGAAACGAAATTTGGCGGCGGTGGTAGCTCGTGTAAAAATAATCCCGCCATTTTTCGCGGACCGGAACACTGGGCCGGGCTGTGCTGCTGATTCGACTCGCGGTGCTGCCTGATCCACTCGCCTAGCCAGTAGAGCTCTTCCGTGCAGTTCCAATGGTTCTCGCTGAGCCTAAGAACGCGCAGCTGCGGTAACTTGTACGCCAGATCGGATCTGACGGTGCTGATGTTGGTCGCCGAGAGATTCAGCTCTATCAAGCTCTTGCAGGCGGACAGTGCCGCGTCATCCGCTAGTAATTGTCCCGCGAGTACCGGACTGCGGGACACATCCAGCGTTATTAGTCTCTCTGGGGTTGGCACTGGGAACGCCATGTCACTTTGTTCTTCCTGGTGTCGTTCGAGCGACGTTAACCCCGACATCCGGAGCTTGGCCAGATTACCCGGTCCACTTAGGGTATTAGTTGATAACGCTTTGATAGGATTATCGGATAGATCCAGCTCAGCGAGCAGAGGCAGTTGACCGAGCGCGCCCACTTCGATCTCGCCAATGTCGTTATCGTTCAATATTAACGATCGCAGATTGTACAGCCCATTGAGATCGTCGAGCTGCAGCGCGATTATTGCGTTTCGCTGCAGTTTCAATACCGTCAGACTGCTCGGTAAACTTCCCGGCACCTTTGACAAAATGTTACCAGACAGATCAAGCTCCTCCAAAACCTCCAATCGTCCTAGAGCGTCGTTCTCGATATCCATCAGACGATTGTCGGCGATATCTAGCATACGTAGCAGAGGGTAGCTGTCCAAATCGCCGCTGCGAATAGTAGTCAGTCGATTGCCGGCGAGTCTCAGAGCCCTCACCGATCTCGTTAGAGCGGCCGGAACTCTCGCCAATCCGGTGCGCGATGCGTCGACTGTCTCCAATCTTCTTCCGGTACCTAATAATAGCGATACATCCCTCTCTTTCAGCGGATTTTCCGCGAGTCTTAGGACAGACAGTCCCGATAACGGTTGCAGCGTGCCCGAGGCCGCTCTGGCCAATCCATTTCGCGAGACATCGAGTTCCCTCAATCTATCGAGACTTTCGAACCACCTGGCGCCTAAAACTTGCAGCTGGTTGCCGCTGAGATCGAGTTTCTGCAGGGAGTAGAGCGGCGTGAGCGCGCTATCCGGCAAGTCCGCCAACCTGTTGTCCGACAGATCGAGAAATTCCAGCCGGTCGAGACCGCGAAACGCGTTCTCGTGCACCGTGGCGATCGCGTTTTTGCGTAAACTCAATCGCACGAGGCCGACAAGCGTCCTGAAAGACCCGACACTTATGTCCGACAGCGAGTTATCCGACAGATCGAGGCATGTTAGCTCGCTGAGATTCATCGTGCTTATCGGTAACACATTTTTTATTCGCGGCAAGTTGTTACACGACAGATTTAACGATCTCAAACGCTCGAGACCGCGCCACGACGCGTTCAAGGACACCAACGAGCAATTTGTCACTGCGAACTCGACTAAGTACGGTAGAGTCTCCGTTGTGTTTCTCAGCTCGTCCGACGATGTATCGTTCATCTCCGACGTGTCATTCGTCGCCGACGTATCGTTCGTCTTCGGATTATCCGCCGAAGCGCCGATCATTCCGAAATCGTTCACCAAGTCGGCAGTCTCGAGATCGTCGAAGAAGACGGCGATGTCGGCCGCCTCGACGCTATCCACCAACAAACTTCTCACTTCCGCGGGCATTTCCGTTAGGCCGGGTACGCGTCCGCGACACGTCACGTCTAACAAAGCCGGCGCATCTTCCTTCGCGATGTCATTTTGATGGCACTCGCAGAGATCCGGACAGGCGGAACCGCTCGCCATCAAGGCGAGCAGCACCAACGGAAGCCACATCGCTTCCAAGGCGACGTCTTCACATCTCGTCCGCGGTGCGTAGAGATCTCGCGACGCCACTCGTCCGCTCGTGGACGGAGCGACGAGTCGACGGCGACGACGGCGGCGGTATCGGCGGGGATCGCGAAGTCGCGTGCCGCGGCCGCGGGTTCATCTACGCGGGGACGGAATTGACACGCGATCGACCAGCGACGATGATGGATGTCACCGAAGAGCGTTATAATGGCTTATATACGGATGCCAATACCGGCGGGGTACTATCAGTCTCGTCGAACGTGATGTCCATACGAAGGACTGACAAACACTGCGGCGCTCGCGACTCGTAGCTGCGCTCGCCCGCCACCCTCTCCGTCCACCTTCTCCTCGCTCCACCACCCCCGCGGCTTCGTCTTTCTACCCTTCCGTCGGTTTCTCTTCCTCTCGCGCTCTCTCTCACGCCGCCGATCCCCTCTATCTCGCGACTCGACTGTGTGCCGCCACCTATAACCATTCCACCCTTCTGTGCCGCGTATCTTCCCCCTGTGTACCGTGCCGTGTACAGATACACCTCCACCATTACCAAGGCCGCCACCACCACCATAGCAGCCGTCGCTTTTGCTCTCGAACTCGATAAGGGGCGCGAGCGCGCTTGCGTCCTCTGACAGCGTACTGACGCGTAGAACCGGTATCCTGCGATTTCGCCAGCTACCCTTGCTACCGGTCGACCCACTAGCTGTGCTGTCTAGCGGGCTGTTCTCACTTTTCTTAAGTTTGCTCCATTTCTGTTTGCATTCATTTTCCCTTATTATTGCTCGCCGAATGGCGATGCGCAAGCATTGCCCTTAACGTGCTTTTAAAGCGAAATTAGAAATACATAGGATGCTATTTTTTTCATTAATTTTTTTTTACAATTTTTTTAAACAGTAAAATCTTTTACCGTTATTTGTCATTGACATATTCTTGCACACATTATCTGTCAAGCGTATGAAGTAAAATAGCGCACTCGAGTGTTGTAATGAATTAATTGGCGCGTTGTGCCATTCTACTTTTGCTCTGGATATTTAATGCAACTCAATCAACCAAGTGGCCACGCGTGTGGTTTACGCTTATCCTTGGAACAATCGCGAACATCACGTTCTCGGAAATATTATAGATACTCGTTAAGACAATAAACACGCATTAAGTTACTAATCTAACTAAAACTTCGCTAGCAGTTTCATGAGTTTCAGTCGCTAGTGGGCTTTCTTAGATTCGATTCGCGTGCCGAGGTTACGGAGGTGCTAAGATGCAGTTCTCACGGAATAAGGCGAAAGGTCAGATGCTATCTCTTCGCACGTAGCTCGCGTATATCAGTGCTATCTTATTGTTATAATATGCGATATACAGTGTATTTATCCGTTATTTTTTCCGCTCGAGTTTTCACGATTAGATTACTTCATTTATTATTTCGATATTTTAACAAGTCAAACTTTTTTCGGTTGGCATCATTCCAAAATACATCACCATCGTTACATCAAGCTGTCAATTTTTTTTCTTTTTTTTTTCCTGACGTATGAGAGATCCATTTTGATAGCAGTGTACATTTCAGGCGACATTTTATTTTCGAAATTTTCTTCAGGCATTGATATAACCAAAACGACCCAGTTTCCAGTATTCGATATTTTTAGAAAAAAAGCCACGGTGGCCATGCATACAAGTATTCGGCGTTTTGCTGCGAACGCGAATGTTTTCCCTGTTCCATAAATTCGTAGCTTTCTGTCTGTAATCTCTGCGGCATCGCCGTATTACTCGCTGGACCTAGTCGTGCAATCAAACCGCAATGATCTCGGTGTAGCCCCAGCGTTTCCGATATACTATATCGAATCGCACCGATCATTGATACCGTTACCATTGCCGCGAGGTTAAATGCTTCAGCCACCGGACTTAAAGAGAGATTTCCGCGGTGCCCGTTAAAACGGCGATCGTGACTATCGCGTCGGATGTCGGTGCGAAAGAGCTGCAAAAACTAAATCGGTTATCTGCTTGACCTCTCGAGCACCCGCAGATAAATCATCGATTAAAGGAAATCTTCTGGGACGGAATAACAATCGTCGCTTGTCTCTGGGAAAATATTGAGATTCGTTTTGTGGATGGATTTAGAATGAACGTGTCCGGCGTGCAAAAATACGACGCTGATTTCAGTATGTGCCACTTTGCGTCAAAAGCATAAGTGTTGCGTTCTGTAGAAATAGAATGTAGTTACAGCGAGGAAAAAGAAATGCGAGGGACGGGATCATGCTTTTAATTTTGGCTGGATTTTAGAAACGTTGTGCGGGAAATAAATGTTGAAAAAGTCTTATTAATTATTAATAATTAATGACTGTTGTAAATGTCTGCGCAGTTTTTTATCAATTTTACATTTTAATACGTGCAGAGCTGTATTAATTCGTAAAAAGTGCTGTAGCGTAAAATTTCGTGTAAAATTAAATAACTATGCCCGAGTTTTTTTTATTCGAAACAGCAGTTTCTATATCGCAAAGATTTAAATTTTAACTTATTTTTACAGATTTATCTCGTGAGAGTATTTTTGCATCGCCTCGGAGATACAAAATCTATTTGATAAACAAATAAAAATTGATCTCAAATGCATTGCTGTTCCGTTTGTTCCGTGAATGATTTATAATATGCCTGTCAACATTGACTTTATACATGTTCGCTCTCGATTAAGTGCTCTGTAACTTGAAAAATCCACGTCACTCCGACGCTGGCAGTTGCATGCGATGATTTAATCGCTCTAAGCGGCCATAGAATATCGATGGACCGACATTTGCGAGATACGACAATTTTCAAATACCAGAAATTTCCAACTTTTCCAAGTGGTTTGATACGCCGATTCGCGAGACACGAATAAACATTATGATCAAGCAGCCATTCCGATACTTTTTGAACGATTTCGCGAAGCACTCTATCTGATACGCTGCGTCATTCAAACTTCTTCGCTCATTTAAGTATTATCGTATTCTTACAATTTTTTTTTTATAAGTTTCCGATATTTCAAAATATCTAATGTAAAACGTTTCAAGTTTATCGGAAATCGATGATCGTCCTAGTTGGAAGATTTCAGAAGAGATTTGAAATAACACGTCGTACAATGAGACATAATTTTACAAAGAGATCTTTAATTTATATTGATAGTTTTATTGAATGCACTTTATGTGTAGACATTTTAATAATCTTAGTAAATGTTGAAGAAAGTAAAGTTTAATATACAACATTCTCTCTTATATTTCAATATAGAACTTACGATAATATTTGTTGACATTTTAACAATATTTTTAACAAAATTATGCAAAAACATACATTTTGTTTTATTGTGGCGTTGCTTGAATTTTTCATATTGTACAAAATTTTTCATTTTATTACTTGTCTGCAATTTTTATTGTTAAAATGCAAAGCTGCGTGAGACGTGAAATTAACAACCCGTCCTTAAAATGTATTGGAAATTTTGCCATGTCCCTTGTATGCGTGTCATTGTATGCGAAAGGGGTTGATTGCTGGGTGTAAGTGGACATCCAGTATGCGGTGGAGGACGTTCGGGAGTGGTAGAAGGAAGCGGCGCTTGATAAGGGAAATCTTCTTTCGAGCCTGCGGTGCCGACCGACATGTAATTTCCCCGGAATAGAGGACGGAATCCTGGCTCGGATACTACTGCCCGCACGGGTTACAAAGTTACTTTTACGAGAGTAGTGGGCAAATGTAAATGGGGCCGGTGAGCGGTGGCGTAGCGCGAGCGAGAGAAGTGCGAGGGCGACTGAAAAGGGAAAATGAGAGAAAGAGTGGAAGGAACGCAGAGGCGATGGGGCGACGAGCGGCGATGGGGGAGGGAACGAAGGCGCACGGGATGGAATAAAGGGGATGAGACTGTCGGAGTTTGTAATTGCAGCGGCTTTAACGCGCTGCTGATGGCCGATGGCACCCGAGACTGGGGTAATGGTCTGCACCAAATGTCTCTTCTTGCGAGAGAAGAGAAAGAGAGAGACGCAGGAAAGAGTATTCGAAGAGACGCAGAAAGCGCCGGAGACACGTGGAATCGTGTCGTTTTCTCCGTCGCCGATTTTGTGTGCTCGTTCTTTTACCCATCGACTGCGCGACGCGATGGCATCTTCCTAGCATTTCTTTAGAATATTGTAAAAGCTCGTTGATTAATCGGTCTATTCTTGAAATTAGTGTGCAGAGTTGGGGTATAAAAATCTCTCGATTCAAGATGAAAAGTATTTATTTGAAATAGATACTTTTTTAAAACAATAGTAATTCGTTGTTATTAAAAATTGATATACGTTCTTTCGCAGAGATTATTTTTTCTAAATTTTTTCGGTGATCGAATTCACATATCATATTTTTATAAACGTCTAGTTGTAGTTTATTTTACGTCTTCGTTAACCTTGATTGCTGGGGAGACTATTTTTATCGATATATGCGTGGCGCTGTAAAATTTAGTTATACAGGCATGCTGGTGGTTGTTATTTTCCGAAAATGTTATTTGCGCGGATCGCTAAATTTTTCTTCTTGCGTCAGATTACGACACAAAAAGATGTAGAGTTATATTCATCTTATAATTTACTTGCGTATAACTTTTTCTTGAGAGAAAAATATGTCGCTTTTATATTATGTTTAAACGCAGAAAATGTATGTACAATTGTATCATTGTTGTCTCGGAATGATTTTTAATTATATAATTTGATTATCTTAATTAGTTTTATTTAAAATAAAAATTAAAGATAATTTTGAAAATTAAACACAAATTTAATTATATAAAATATTTTTAGTGCTATACAACAAAAATAAATAGAGTAATGAAATATTTCACAAAATTATATTTTAAATTTATGTAATGGAATTTCACTCAATATTTTGTTTGTGTATTTATTTTTATAAGTGTAGAAAACTTAATGTCTTTTTTTCCGCGCAAGTACAGTTTTTTGTGTGTTCACTCATAAATTCTTTACCGAAGTATCAGTTAGTAAGAGTACTACAAGCCACTTTCCTATAAATATTTAAAACACCCGACAGAGCGTTTAAGGTAAAAAAGTTTCCAAGTTTCCTTCCGGATATTTACGTACGATTCATTACCCGCGAGACTCTCTCTCTCTTGTTTTGCGCGAGCACTTAATCCGCCATTATTTCAAAGAAGCACTTGTACCGTAAGGACCTAATTGTTCCGAGTAGTGTACGTGCCAAAACGTACGGAAAACGAGAATGAGAACGATTTTCGGCGCACAAATTCAGCGCACGCTTTCTCCACGCCACACCATTGATCGTTATTT